GCCCGGGGCAGCTCCCGCCGGTGCTCGGGACGTGATTTGCTGTGCTCGGGCTGTGCTGCTCCGGGCAGGGGGAGGCCAGGGTGTCCCAGTGCAGGGGTGTCAGCGGCGATACCAACAAAGACATAAGGAGCAGGAGTGAGAGAAGCACAAGAATGATCATTTAACACTTAGCAAGTGATGATGGATTCGTGTTGGGGTTCTGAGCTGAGCAGCAAGCCCTGCAAACTCTTCCAGCAGCATCTTGATGGCACTTGGTGGTGTTGTGGTCTTATCCAGAAAAGCGCCTGTGCTTTCTCTTCTCTCCTTGTCAGTGTGCATGGTAAACTCCTTTAGAAAGAGGCTTGTCAGTCACTTATCCATATGCCTTCCTACATACTAAACATTTTATCCTGGCTCTTATTAACCTTTAAATACTTCCTGTTTCATTATTGCTATGAGTGCATCTCTTGCTCTGCACCTTCTTGCTCTTATGACCATGGCTAATGATGAGCTCCAAGTGCTGGGGACCTTCTGGCCATGTTTTAACTCCATCTGTATGGATGATCAGGCCTTGGGAAGCAGGGAGGTGCCAGCAGTGGGGAAGGACAAGAGGAGAGTTTGTCCCTGGATGGTCACTTTCTGTTCTGACCTTCTCTTTCAGAAACGCTCTCGTACACGGACGACACGGCCATGAGCAGGTCGGTGGTGCAGTCCCTGCTGGCCAAGAGAGAGTTTGATGAAGTTGATATGGCCAAGAGGTAAGGGCTGCAGGCAGCCTTGGGGGCCAGGCTGGTGGTGTTCATGACTGAAGGCAAAACTTTGTTAAGATCCAGCCATTGCTGGATCTGTGCAAGGGGACAGGGGCTGAGGCAAAGTGATTGTTAATTTGTGAAAAAAAAACAAAAATCAGGAAAATGATGGCTGATCCTGTGATTCCTTGTGTGCTTTGTACTGTCCTGGCACATGGAGGGGTCTGAGCTGTTGTGGGGGTTCAGAGTCTGCTGTAAAATGGAGCAGGATGGGATGTGCTGCATTGCAGCCCTCTGTGGGAATTCACCTTCCACAGAATCATTGGAGAGTTTGGGTGGGAAGGGACCTTTAAGGTCAGGAATGTCGGAAGCATTCCCTTTCATGTTTGTTTGTTGCTATTTGTGTTTGTACTTCCCTTAATTTAGTTAGCAAGTATTAGTGAGGTCAGCTTTGGTTTGTTTGTGATCCATTTCCCTTTTGAATCCACAGCCCTGGTAGCATTTGGTTCCATTTAAGGGAGGACATTTATTTGTTTAGAAAACTCTTCCATTGAACTTGAACAAAAGACTTTCTTTGTGGTTGTGACCCACAGAAATGTTTCCAGTTTGCTTCTATTTCAAGGCAATGTGAAGAGAGAAACAAGTGGGCTGAGAAAGGTGATGTTTATACCCCTTTCTTCCTTTCACAGCAGTTTTTCTTTCCCCACAGAACTGAATCACTTGACCCCTGACTGGCACTGAAGAATCCAGGTGTTGTTACTTCCCTGCAGCAAAAGGCTTCACAAACCTCAGAACAGACTGAATATCCCATGTGTTTTTCCCCCTTGTGTAACTGCTGCTCTCCTGCTCCTGCCAGGTTTGCTGAGGAGTACAAGAAGGAACCCAACAGGGGTTATGGGATGGCTGTTGTCAACGTCTTCAAGAAGCTCCTGAGCCCCAAGTGCAACGACGTGTTTGAACCAGCAAGAGCCCAGTTCAACGGGAAAGGCTCCTACGGGAACGGCGGCGCCATGCGGGTGGCAGGCATCCCCCTCCTCTACTCCGACGTGCAGGATGTGAAGAAGGTGCTGCTGCTGAGAACCTGACTGCTCTGGGAGGTCCTGCTGGTGCTGGGGTCTCTGGGATCCCTCAGATTTGCTGACCACATGTTCTCTCTCTGCAGTTTGCGAAGCTGAGTGCGGAGCTGACCCACGCCAACTCCTTGGGCTACAACGGGGCCATCCTGCAGGCCCTGGCCGTGCACCTCGCCCTGCAGGGGCAGCTCAGCAAGGAGACCTTCCTGGAGCAGCTCATTAGCCACATGGAAGATGTGGAGGCAGATGATAAGTCTCTTACTGACGCCCGAGCGTAAGTGGCAGTGAGGAGCCCTGACTGCTGGTAGGGATTGTTCTGGCTCTTTGCATTCTCTCTTGTTCACTGTGCTCTTTGTTTCCAGGCTGGGATTTGAAGATTTACCATTTTCCAGGCGTCTAAAGAAAATAAAGGAATTTTTGGAGCTCAGCAGCGTTCCCAAAGCAGATGTATTGTTTGAATTAGGTAAGTCCCTTTCTTACTGCAAGTCTTAGGAAAGAGCTGGAAGCAGGACTGGCTCAGCAAGCCTGGCTGAGGTGTCCTCCTCTGCCTCTGGTGCCCGTCGGGCACAGGCTGTGCTGGAAAGGCTGCCTGTGCTCACCAGGCTGCAGTTCTCTCAGTCTTCACCCAGCAACTCCTTCTCTGTATTGGTGGGAAAAAAAGTCTTGCTAAGAAAAACTTACCACAAATAACGTTTGTGAATATTCTCAGATCTCTTGTATTAATGCCTGGATCCCTGTGCTGGGTGGGAAGGGGCAGATCTGTGTTGCCAAACTACTGGTGTAGCAGGAAGCTGGTGTCCAGCGTGTGAAGAGTGAGAGGCTTCTCTCCTGAGCTGCCAGCTGACCTTTGCACCTTCTCATGAGAAAATCAGTGATACCAGTAGGGAAA